TACTACATGTAGTCCTTAAATCGACACCAACATATATTGTTCCATATTTGTTATTAGAGATATAAGCAATGTTTGTTGTGTCTCATCTTGCTTCCTGATAAAAATCTGAAATTTATTGAGTAAAAAAGAAAAAGAAAAAACGGAATGAGAATATGCCTCAGTCAATTATATATATATATATATAGATTCAACTCAACCAACTGTATATATACATATACTATTTGCGGTTTTATATTTTTTCTTTTCGATAACTGAAGCTTCATTGAAAAGCCAGAAAGACGACAAACAGATACATCAATTAGAACAACAACCAAAGGAGAGTACAGATGAATCAACATAAACATAAAACAAATTAATAAACTTATAGGAATAAGAAACATAAAACAGATGAATAAACTAAAGGAGAGTACAAATTTGGGGTTCATTGTCGACTAACATTCTACTATTAAAAAAGAAAGTAAACCATAAAAGAAAAAGAAATCAGCCATGCAAATAAAGTACACCCTTAAGAATCAAAACATTACATTGCAAATGCCTCAATATCTTTTCTTCTATCAAAATCAAAATCAAAATCACATTTAGCAAAAGTTCATTGCTAACTCTTGTGCAACTTTTCTATTGTGTAATCTATTCAAAAGCATCATCGCTTTCACTTGGGTAACCTTTCATTATAGTTCCTATGTAATAGAAACCACGAGTCCTCCCTTCGAAGTAGATTTGTGGTAATAGTGGCCAGTTAGAATACTTCTGTATCCCATCCATGACTTTATTGTACGTAAGAAGATCAAAACTTCCAAATTCGACCTCATAATCCTTCAAATGTTTAACAACTAATATGCTAAATTTACATTTGGGCTCCTCAGGGGTTCCTTTCATAAAAAGCATGACTCGGTTAGAGTCAATCAGCTTCTACAGCCGCCTTTTCAAGGCATCATCAAGGCCATTTTGCACTTGAATTTGCCACTCAGCAGATCTAGTTTCTTTTGCTAACTCTTGGACTGTCTCAAGGCTGGCATGAGCAGGAGCAGCATGTTCTCCAGCATTAACTGACCCAGCAACCCTAGCACCTTCAGATGTATCAACGACCTTTTCATCCTAACAAAAGAAAACACAAACAAAAAATGACCAAGAGAAGAACAAGATATAGAATAATCGTAGAACCCAAGCCAACAACGAAATTAGTTACAAAAGTTTATCAACGAAAATTCTTTTTCCAATCATCACTCAATTCAGACTTGCAGGCATTTCCAGTTGTCCGATCCAAGTAAGCGTTATATTGCACAGGACATCTTAGTTTCTAGTTCATCTTCTGAACTGTTGATTAATGATCATAAATCCTGTGACAAAAAAAACTCAACAGTCTCGGGCTTTTGAGCACATGATTCATGAACACCATCTAAAATTCTCTCGGATCTAGTAAATCACTTTTAGAAGTGGATAGTTGTTCGAATTGATAAAGGTTTAAATTATAACATAAGGCTTCTTTTAATATCTGATATTCACCATGTCATCGTGCTCATATCCGAGTCACTCAGTGCTCCTATTGAACTTCTACCACCCACACTCTCACATTTTGAGTTTGGCATCATGAGCTGAGGCTGTTAATGATTAAATCTCAATAAAATACAATCATACTGCCACTATTATCATATATTTATCAGTAACAGCAAACCCCAAAACTTAATTTCAAACTAAATATCCCATATTCACATAACCTGATTATTTAAATGCACAACTTTGTTGAAGGAAAACAATATATTCTAACATCCAATCCAACAACCTAAGTATGCTTACTCAAAACCAATCAGCATCAAATAACCAAGCAAACATGTATATATTATATATTCTTTTTTTTTTTTTCTCGTATGACATAATATCTATGTATTTGTTGTTATTCAATGTAATGTGCTCACAATACTAATTTTGGGTTTTATCATCTTCATTCATCCATTGTCTTTTTTTTAAAATGATTATTTTTATTGCTTTTATTGTATTTAACAATGGATCTACAAATTCCACATAGGTGAATTCTTGTTATGGAGGAAAATGGTGTGTGGATTTTGATGTTATTTCAAAGGCAAAAAGAAGATTGAAGAGAGAAAAAAGGGAAAGTCATGGAAAAGAAGAAGATGTTGTGAGAGAGAATGTTGATGCTTTTAGGAAGATGTGAAAACATAAATGAAGAGAGAGAAAATTGAATAGCAAAGTTAATTAAATTAAGTTTTAATTATTTTAAGATGAAAGAATTAGTTTGTTTAATCTAAGCCATTAATAGTGCTTAAATCTAATGGCTTAAAATTTGTGTCCAAACTTGTGTAAAAAATATGGTGCCATGGATCCGCCCCCTATATATATATATATATATTCATTTTTTTTGCCTCTTTAATTTTTTTGCCTCGTATGACATAATATCTATGTATTTGTTGTTATTCAATGTAATGTGCTCACAATACTGATTTTTGGGTTTTATCATCTTCATTCATTCATTGTTTTTTTTTAAATGATTATTTTTATTGCTTTCATTGTATAATTAATAATGGATCTACAAATTGCACATAGGTGAATGTGAGTATTGTTTAAAGATGGATAAGCACCCTACACAACTATGCGCTTATAGGTATCGAGTCCCAAAGAACGCAATTGTTGGCGAGAGTTATGTGGTTGCATGTCTTATATGTGGTTGCCTAGAGACTCATGTTGTGCTGGTTGTGGCCTAAGCATGCGACATGAAATTCTCAAGTATTGTAGAATCTGTGGGAAGCAAGGTGAACACTGGGATTCTGAGTGCCCAAAACACGAGGAGAAACATAAGGATTCTGGTTTTACTTACGACCCTTATACAGGTTCTTTTTCTGTCAAGATTTGCCATTTGAAACAGTAGAGAATGAAGAGTTAATTGTACTCTATAGTTAAAGCAAAAGAGAAAGGAGTGCTCTTTTATGTCATTTGTCATAAATTCCATGCATGATGCATCCTATCATTTTGATGTCTACATCGTGTATTGCTTTTATTGCAAATTTATGAATTGCAATTTGCAACACATGGTCTATTATATTCTTATGCTTGAATATGTGAGAATCCATCTATTTAGAAAATTTCTAAAGTAAAAGGTGGTTTTTATCTCAACATTTTGTTCTCTTAAGGGGTACTGTATTTTAATTTAAAGACTTGCTAAACAACTAGGCATGAATGACCATTGTTATGTGCACCATCATATGGTTTGAATTTAAATAACGAAGGTAAAATGCAAAAGTTTAAGAAAAGTTTTAAGTTAAACGTCGAAGAGGCTATCCATCTCATATTAAGAATAAGGAGTTAAATATCAAAAGAGTACATTCAAAGATATTAATAGTTGTAATAGACAAGTCAAATGAAATCGTACACATAGAAAAGTATTTGCCCTAAACCCTAAACCATAACTTTCTGTTTTGAAAATAGAGTACATTAATTCAAAAAGGGAAGATATCATAAGAGTAGTATAGTCAAAAGATTACGTTTTTCCTTTATTTTCAACCAAAATTAAAAAGGTCCTACATTATGATGGAATGACCCAAAATATGATGTTTACCAATCAAAATGTGTTACGTTGTTAGACAATTAATTTTGATGACGTGTAACATTAAATACCATATTTGAACACAATGAAAAAGAAATACAACCAGAAAAAGAAGAAAAAGAAGAAGGAAAAGAAGAAGAAATTGACAAGAAGTCACAAATCGGGGGGAAAATTTATATGGCAGCTGTTTGCAATTTCTCTATTTTATGACATAATAACTATGTATTTGTTGTTATTCTATGTCATGTTGAAAATAGCTCGTATATGGTAAAAAGATGATTTCTCTAGCCAAGTTTATAGCCAATATTTGATAATGTAGTTATTTGTTGATGGGGTCATAGATATCATTCCTTCTAACTTCTTTGACATCATCACCTTTTTTTATCTTTTTCCTTTTGTATGTAACAATGTAATTGCATGCAAACATGTAGTAAGGTTGATGAATTTAGAAGTTATATTGGTATTTTTTTGAATTTTTTTATACAAGCGATAGTCTAAATTAGAGGTGGGTTTACCATGGTGTTGTAGGGATTTGAACTTGAAACCACTAGTTTACATGACAAGGCTAGACTCTATTGGCCTATTGATTTTAGAGACAAAGAAAAAAAATAGATAGCCCCCCTCCTCCCTCATAACCCTGTTGGTATATGCTTTTGATTATAGACACAAAAAATGACAAAAAAAATGCGTCTGCAACTTCTCTTCTCTATTTACACATATTTCATCTGTAATGAGCCCATTCTTGTTCGGCCTTTGTGCTTTTGACCCATAATAAGAAAATAAGTTTATTTACACCCATAGGGAAACTTTTTCATATATTATTGTTATATTATTAATATAAAAACCTATCCCTTTGAAGGAAAAATCAAACAAATAAAAAAAGAAAGCCTATGACGCAAAAGATCGAACACAACGATTATAAAAACTAAATTCTATGAAGCAGCTCTTATAAAATTGATCTATATTATTTATGAGAAAGATTAAAAACTTTAAAAAAAAAATACAAGAGATGGTATGATGTACTCTAAATTAATTTAATTTATGGATTGGGTAAATTCGAACTTAGATGTAAGGGGATGGGCTCACTATATCCTAATTAACTGGACTAATTGACGTCAGCGAGATAAAGTAAATTAAGGATACACTAAACCAATTGGTTTTACTACTAAACCTTCAGGAAATATACAATTTTAATCAAATTATGCTCAAGCTTGATGCAACCTTATGCTCAAGCTTCATTGAACTAATTTAAATTTTTGGTTGATGCAACCATTTATTTTTTAGGTCTACATTCATAGATCATCTTTGTAAAAATTAGACAAATTGAAAACCAATTCGACATCCAATTGTGTCCTACAAAATCAATTAATAGTACGGTACTTCAAGAAAGTATTAAAATTTCAATAATTCAATTGAGTAGTCAAATGATATCGGATTCAAGTGATTTTTTGTAGAGATATCTTTGAATAAATATCTACAAAATAGACGGTTTGGATTAGTAAAATACAATACGGAGTAGGCCCTAAAGAGGGATCCCTCAACTGAAGCTCTCTCTCTCTCTCTCTCTCTCTCTCTCTATATATATATATAATTGCCCAAATCAGATTATAGATATTGAATGGAAAGAACATTATCTCGGTCGTAGGATTTTTTCTGTAATCTTTTCCCAAGATTTGAGAGTTTTATCTTGGTAGTTGGTTTTATACAATGCAACGCTAGCTATTGGGAAGCTCAAATCAGTAATGCTCTCATCCAGAATACTAACTTTCTCTTGAGCTCTTTTCCTCTCTTCTTCTGTCAGATTTCCATAAAGGAGGGCCAAATGTGGCAAATCAGCTGCAAAGGGAGACATGAAAATAATTATTATGGTTTCAGTAATGTAAAAAGAAGAATACTAGTTTTAATGGGGTTCCATCTCCAAACCATGCTTCAATTTCTTTTATGCTTCAGTAAAAACTAGTAAGAAGAAAAGTAATATTTGGTGTCAATTCAAAGAGACCAAGATCCTCATTGCTTGTTAAATTTATCTAAAATTTTGAACTGGTAATAAACAAACGACAAATTAAAACCAAAACTGTTCCAAAATAGAACAAGAATGAAATAACACCAAAACCTCAGCTCCCAACGGTTTATTCTTTTTAGCAACATTCCAAGTAGAAAGTATGTTTGAAGATTATATTTACTTAATAATTTGTCTCCCTCTATCTCCATCCTTCTCATTTTTCCCATGTTTGATCATTTCTACAATGAGGAAAAAACTTACGATTCGAGATGTCGAAATGTCCGCAGGTGTTAGATAATATATCATACATCTGAGAAAATATGCAATAAATATGTTAGTACTATTCTGAATAATACAATGAGGGGAGTATTTTTATTTTCTACTCTAAAAATAAAATATCAACAAAACAAACTAAATAAAATAAAATGAAGGAAAGAACAAGAAGTGGACAATGGATAGGACCTTCTTGTAATAGGGTCGCTGAAAGAGGATGCAAACACACTGGTAATAGGACCTCCCGGTTATCACAGCTTCAACTTTAGGAACGTACCCTTGGATAGGATCCTCTAAGGCTTCAAACTTCTTGAGCATGTTGTCGGGTGACAGACGGATGGACCCCGCAAGGGCAATGTGGGGCTCAATCTCGGGTCCACCAAACTCGGCCCGAAGGCCCTCCATCAGCTTCTTGATCCTGCAAGACACATCATCCGTTGGGATGGCCCACACCGAATACGTTTGTCTTTCGTCCTTACTCTGCACCACCTCCACTTCCACCTCCAACTCCGCGAGCGTATCTTGGACGCTATTTTCCATGGCGAATTATTAAAACACCGTTCAATTTGAAAATTAAATAGTTACCTTAGTCTCTCGAGAAAGAGCACATATCAAGAGATTGAGAAGAGGGAGGTATGGATGTGGAAATGTATTTCCCTTTTATTGGGAAGGGTTGCTGAGGAGATGTTGACAAAGTAAATTTGGGACTGAGATTGTGATGACGAGATTAGTGGATTATGGTTGGTTACTATAATTTCTCTGTTTTGTTTGTGGTGTGTGGCTTTGTTTTTGTTTTTGTTTTCTCTGGTAAGTAAGTAAATTAATGCATTAACTTCTGTAAATAGAGTTGCTAATACCAAACTATAGTAAAGAGTAAAAAATCGGACAAACTCTTCAAAAAGCTTGTTATTTTCCCATTTGTTGCATTATCTAATGCAAAAAGGTTACTTGGTTCTTGAATTTTTAATAGCCATTTGGTTCTCAAATTGTTACATGAACAGATTGCATTTAATATCATGATTTCTTTACAAATTATTTCACGATATGGGAGAACAGATCTTCTTTTTTTATTGTAGATAAGTCATTGAAAAATTGCAAAAAAATTCTCTGTTCTGTTGACTGTAGAACAGGAGGTGAAACACTAATCAGCAAAATAACAGACATTATTGTTTTTAAATGACGGGTTTTTGGATTTAGCAACGGCCGGCAGCAGTTTACGGACCTTTCGCGACGATATTTAGGTGTCCATTTTACAAAGAGTCTTTAGCGGCGATTTATTCCGCCGCTAACTGCTGCAAAAAGCCCACATATCCATTTTAGCGCCGGTCAAGAATACCGTCGCTAATAGTCCCCAAAAACTTTCAGTTTTCTCTTTACCAGGAAGGGAATTTTTTGGCCAGACAACGCAATGTCGGGGATCTCGTACGGTTTAAAGAATTGCGTTTTGTCCTTGCCATCTAAGATTCTAAGAAAGCCACTTGTGCGCCATTTATAAAATTTATAACAACAAAATACAAACAAAAAAAATTCTTGTACAGTTGGAAAGCAATTCACTTCACTTGATCAACATATATAATAGAAATGGATCGGGGTATGATGCTTTCATCTCCCTGTGGTGCCTAATCGTCCCCATTGATTGTATGGCAAGGCTGCTTTACCCACAAAGTCCTTTAACAGCACTGCTTCCCCAACAACAGATTGGGATTGTCGAAACTCAAAATAAGGTTCAATAAACAATCCCCACGGCATTCGGCGGCCAAACTGCATGGGAAAACATTGTCATGAGAGATAGGGAACATATATATATATATATATGCAAGAGCATATGCTAATCTTATGAGCCCTCTACATTTGAAAACTATAAAGAGAGGAGGAGCCAAAATTCCACCATGTAATGAGCTTACTACGATTCAATATATTATCACTTTTCTTTCCAAGGATCTAATTATCAAAGGTTCACCTTCAATTCCATCATGGTATATATGTCACACTAGTCTGTCTAATTAAAAAGTAATCCAGCTACATATCAGTTGCCCCAGTTGATGTTCTATGTTGTAAAATTGAACTGACAGGGTTTCTGATAGTCTTACCTATATCTACAAGATCCGTATGATGCTACTAAGAGAATCAAAAGTTGGAAAGGAAAAACAACATTTACCTGGGAAACACAGAACCAGCCCATGAGTTTAGGGGTTCCTAAATTAAAAACTGTGGGATTTTCGAACACTTAAATCATGCATGAGCACCCAAGATTCCTGAAAGCCAAAGATGACATACATGAATCTATGTCGTACTTATGAAAGAGTACAATGGAGAAGAAAGAGGATCCAACAAAGGGAACTTTTGTAATGGCACAAACCTACCACCAGCCCCTACCATCCCACAAGTACAAAACAAAACCAGCTGTTTTCTTGTTTATCACCTTAATTTCCTATTCGGCAATATCATTGTTACTTTCAGGTATTCTATTTTATGACATGTTCTGGCAAAGAGTATTACTTTACGGTTAAAGCACTAGACATTTCAACAACGTCTGTAATTGAACAGAAAAAGATTGTCCACAAAAAGAAATATTAGGACATAAGTAAACTGAGATTTGTTGCTCCGAAACCACAAACTATACGAGAAAACGTTATTGAAGAAGAGAATTATAGTCTTAGGGTAAGAAAAGTTACAGAGTGCTAATACCAACCTATAGTAATTTCTTATCATAGTATTCTTTGGGTAAGAAAAGTTACATAAGTATATCTATTGTGCTGATTCACTCACAAACTTTTAAAGCAATATATGAATAAAGGTCTAGAAAAAATTTCCATGGTTGAAATCTAAATAGAATTGGTTCAGCTTAAGTCCAAAATTGAGACCTCAATTTATGTCAGTCCACAAAATAACACAAAAAACATATCAAAACAAGTAGTAACCACAAGAAGAGACAGCATTACCATGGAAGATTATCACAAAGCAGAAGATAGTGGTGACGATCATTGCCAAGAAGTTTATCTTCGATGATGATGTTTTATCAGATTTCATTTTCTTCAATGCATTCATCCTTTCTCTCCTTGCATGCCGCAACCTTGATCGCTTTGAAATTTCTTTGACGAACTCTATATCGGCGGCATGTAATGATGGACCTGTAGGAGGCCGAGGTGGCTTGGGATGCTTTTTAGGGATTTTTTTCTGTTTCTCAACTGTTCTCTTCTCCATTCCTCCTTCTGCCATCTGCCCCATACTTCTAGCTAACGTATCCATATTCTGACCAATACTTGATACATTATTGCCTGCACTTAGCCCATCACTAGCTGCTATTGATCCATCAATATACAAGTACCCACTCCTTGCCCTAGCCATTGTTTTCCTGGAACATTTACCATCCGAACCCGACCCTTCATTTCCATCTTCTTCACTGGTGCGTTCAGTCTCACCACTTTCCAAGTCAAAATCCAGATCACTTTCCCAAGAACCTAGATGATCCATTACATGCCTAACCTCGGACTTGCCCTCTAAGCCTCTAAGATCTCAAAGGTATAAACATTCAATGCAAACACACAACCACCTATACAATATTCTCAGCTATGTCAGCTAACCCATTTCTCACATCAAGTGACATCTCAAACACAATTCAAGATTTTATGGCCATTAAACCAAAACTATTAAAGCAAGAAACCATCTTTTCCTACTATACGAACAAGTCATACCTAAAAGCTATAACATTGCTTCTGCATCTGCCTAACCAGTACTTATCCCAAACAGTGAAAATGGTACGACCTTGTAATCAATATAACCTCAAATAAAGTGTCCATTTGTTCTCATTTCTTCTTCCTGGAATTTAACACAAAAACAGCCAAAATATAAAAATTCAAAATACGAAAATACTAGAATAGTTACGAACAGATTCCGCTCACAAAATTCAGTTCGAAAGTGAAGCATATAAAATTACGTTTACAATAACTTCCATGATTTGCTTGGCACCCGGGAAAATGTAAGAAAACAGAGGCAATTACAGAAATTGGACCCAAGTTTTCTCATTGTAAAAGTGAGGCATGATAAATAGGACTAGATTGGGTTGCCTAGTATTGTGATCCCATTTCGCCCAATTAAAAAGAACGACAATTCGAGAACTATAACCTTCAAAAAGCAAGGTATTTTCTTGTATTGTCTATCATTTTCTCAGGAACCAAACAGAAGCCAAATTTGAAAAAGGCATGATTGGCATCACAAGGGAATCAACGCACGTACCTTGGGCAGCAGAGAGAATGTTTGTTGAGGGAAGGAGAGAGAGCAATTCCGAGAGGACAAACCAGCTGAGCTTAATTGGGGGCATTTCGCAAATATGAAACAAAACTAGGGTTGTCTCTCAATGTCATACTCATAGCACTACCCGTATAGACAACATACCGTTTGATACATCCTCGCGACACGTCATTCTTTCTTTATTTTGTAATGGAAAATGCTACGACATACCGTTTGATACATCCTCACGACACGTCATTCTTTCTTTATTTTGTAATGGAAAATGCTAGGCTTACCACATTTTTCATACCACATACCACCTCTCTAATAGAGGTGATCCCCATTGTATTGGTGGGCTCCACCACTATTAGAGATGTGGTACACAAAATGTGATAAGCCTAGCACTACCCTTTTGTAATTGTTTTGTTTTTGGTTGAAAAAGATTTTATAATTGTTTAACCCTCAATTAGAGATGAAACTCTTCCCCTTTTTTTTTTCCTTACAATTTTGGTGAAGGAGGCAAAGGGGGCACAATTGGAGTTTTTTTTAAATATAATATTTCTATTTATAATTGTTTATCCAATGTTATTTTTTATGCGATTTATCAAATTATTGATTTCTATGAGTGATGTTATTTGTACCATATTTATTGACCACATTGTTGATTACTCGTGGATCTCATATATATTAGTACGGTCCAGTTCTATTAGAAAAGTGGTCATCAAAAAAGTAAGTGAATTCAGATACAATTTGAGGAAATAAGGAACATTTTGAGCAAAAACAAAATCCACAAGTCATAAGCCATTTGGTGACTGTTATGGGGGTTACTAAAGGCTTTAGTCACTAAAAAAAAGCAAAAAAGTTAACTAAAAGCCTTTTTAGTCACCAAAAAAGTCAAAAAAGGTGACTAATGCCTTTTATTACGGCCACAAATATAACCAAATAATGGTGATTGTTACCACTGTTTTTACTAGTGCAAGGAATTTGTGACATAACAATTTCTAAGTCTTTGCACTCTATCAAAAGTTTTTCTCATTGGATCAGCTTGTAACTTGTAACTTTCTTGGTTGACTTGTCTCACATAAGATCAAAGTTCTTAGTTATAGTGACAGTATGGAGCTGTGCTTCTTTCGGGCATGAGTTCGGAAGCCTTGTATCCAGCTATTGATGATGGTTTCTATACTATGATTGGAGAAGGTTCAGGAGCAGGTTACAACATTAATGTCCCCAGGGAAAATGTGTGGGGATGCAGACTATTTTGCAGTTTGGGACCATATTTTGGTTCCTGGAATTGCAGCAATTTCATATTAACTGATTATGTACTATCATCTTCAAATATCAGCATTTATTTCTATCATTTGGAATAATGAGGTCATCATATTTTGTTTGGCCTGGGTGATCATTATAGTTTATAATCGTCATAAACTACCATTTTCTTATAGGATAAACTACCATTTGCAAACCAAATATCCAAAAAGCAATTCAGGCACAAGAACCAATTGATCATCATATAAATTCCCAAAGAAGAAAATACTTGTAACTCACAGGTTAAGTAGCTTAGATGGTGCGGGACGTAATACAGTTAATGCCTCTTTCCATTGCCACTACTGGCGTTCAGATAACGAAAGAAGACGCTGCAAAATTGACAAATGCCATTCCCACGCTTCAAATGTTTAGCAATTGACGCTCTCCACTCCAATGCTTGTCTTCCACCCCTACTTACACCGTCACTTAGAGCATGATCTAGTTCAGTTATAAACTTATAGTTGAAGGAAGACAGTGATGTGATAGATCAGTTTGCTCTGAAGCACATGTGTAATGTGATTCAGAATAGCTCCATGGTGAGGCACAATGAGCCAAATTGAGAGAAAGATCATCCATATGTAAAAGCGAACTTATGACGTCCGCCATCATAATCTGCATCATTACAGAAGCATTATAAAATAATTACAATGAAGAACAGGAAAAAAGATGCAGCAAACTAATAAAACTGATGACATCACAAACAAATTGAGAGCATTTAGATTTCAAAGGAAAACATGAAACTTCAAAGTAAAATTGAACAAAATACCAAAATGTGATCCATTTAGCAGTTGCTAATTCTCTAGCATCAGAACATGAATGATAAATAATTTGTTTTGCGTGCATTTTTTGGTGACTATATTTTACACAACAACTTTCAAAGACAACAGGCAACAGATTTTCCCGAGGAAACATGTTAGACATGTAATTGCAAGTTGAACTTATCTGGCATAAACATGAGAAAATAACAGTTTTAACAACCACAAAAAGGAGGTACGATTGAAAATGTTAGGCTAAAAGAAAACCGTATTCAGAATAGACTACCTTGCGAGGGATGTCATTGACAGCCTCCAAATGGTTCTTTAGATCTTTCAAATGGTCAAATGCAACTTGATGAAAACTTTTTCTTTCACCAGTCATAGTCCTTTCCATCACTCCAACCGCAAGAACAGCTAAATCTAGAGCATACCACATGTGCATAAGTTCAATATCCTGCATCCTGCCATATAATAAAATAAAACAGAGAAACGCGAAACCATCAACATGTGAAGAAAAGCATGGAAAATCCCAAAATGACAAAAATATGAAATACATTGAGTGCAAAATTCGTTTGCAGATCTAATTTAAGGTTTGGAGAAATCCATTTTCGGGATTGGGGCATAATTCTCCCTTGGATGCATAATGCATTGGCCTTCTTCCATTTCATTCCCCTCCACCTCCCCGCCCCCTGCACACACACACACAACAAAAAAGACTCCCACAAACTTGCGAGTTACAACACAATATGACAGTATTATTATATTAACGTATCAAAACTAACAGAAATATTATAATAGCTTCTCTTGGGGTGTGTTTGTTAAAGCATTTCAAAGACTAATGTACTGAAACTCATGTTGATTGGACAGAGTTTTGGGCTGAATGTAGTCTGATTTCATATGTCATGTCATGATTGTTGGTCTGGTTTTGATGGTTTTCTACAAGATATCTTTGAAGACGAAAATAACAAAGAAATAGTTTTCCTTTCTCTGCTTTCTTTCTAGCCCATCTTTCTTGTAGGTTTTCTTTCTCTGTTTTGAATAAGATACAGTTTTCCTTGTCAAAACAACAAAGAAATATACCAGAAAAAGATTATTTTGAGAATTTTGAGGACTTACTCGAAGTGGACTTTGATTTCCAGTACGAAATTCTCAACAAAAGGGTCCAACAGGTGATCTTCGCATGCTATTTGTTCTTCAGCAGACAACATCAACGATAATTTTCAATTGCATGCTTGACCAGAATTGATGCAGGCAACATAAGAGGAAAGATCAAGCCAATAACACAAAGAATCACAAGGAAATTTTCGAAAAATTGGGCAAGGCGCTCGCCTAGGCGGCCTGGGCGGCCTGGGCGGCTGTGTGCAATATCAAATTAGTTTCTTTAGGTTTTTTTATTTTCTTTTTTGTAATTAAACAATATCTTTGCTTTATTTCAATTACTTTTATTAGTAATTATGTTTTAATTATTATTTCTTTAGTGAACAATCAGTATTAAATATGTTAATTAAATTCATAAATTATATTACTTAATAAAAAATTAATTATTATGTTGTAATATTTTTCGGACTTTAATTTTCAAAGGGATAATTTTTTTTTTTTTGTAATAGTTAATTAATTAATATTTTTAATTGAATAATATCTTAGTCTTATTTAATTAATATAATTACTAATTAGCATTTAGTTATTATTTGTTTCATAAATTACTTATTAAACAATAATTAATTTTTATGAATTATTTTGTGCTCTTAAAAACCAAGAAAGTGGTTGCAACATAGTAAGCAGATATCACAAAAGAACCAATACATACATATAGTATACTTGATTTGCTTATGAACTTAGTTCTTGATTGACTGGTTTGTAGTGGTTACATGTCCTCATAATACGAAATTGATGGGTTCTACTCGCTAAAATCCGATGTCTATAGTTTTGGTGGGTTGATGCTAGAGATAGTGAGTGGGAAGAGAAACATAGGATTTACTCATTGCTTTTTTTTGTTTCTTCTTTTAAGTAAGCACAATGATTTTGAACTTTTGATAAATTCTTTTAGGCATGGATGCAATACATAGAAGGCTGGTCCATTAAAGTGCTTGGTACATCAATAGGGGACTCAAGTGATCCACATGAAGTTGTGAGATTATTTCATACATCAATAGGGGACTCAGGTGCTTGATACATCAATAGGGGATGCAAGTGATCCACAGAAGGCTGGTCCATTTTTGCACAATGATTTTGTTTTTGTTTTTTTTTTGTTAACAAACCTCTTTCATTTTAAGAAACAAAACCAGAACTACAGGAAAATTAACCAAAACAGAGCAGCAAAAAAAAAATACAATTAACCAAGGTGGTTGGTGTAAGTGGTTCGGCACTCTCATTCCTTAAGAGAGGTCAGGGGTTCGATCCCTGCTTTTGTATGGAGTCACTACTTTGGCTAGCACTTTACCCCTTACGGGCCGACCCGGTGTGAGCGGAGATTAGTCTGGGTTGTGGTTAAGCCTTAAAGGTGCCACCCATAGTTGGGGCCAATCCAGGACCACCTCGTGGTTCAGACCCAAAAAAAATATATATACAATTGACTTATGGCCCTTGTTCCGTCTTCAGTTTCTTAGAGGGCATGGTAGCCCATCCACATGAGTTAGGACTGATGAGGGCCGGTCCACCCAGACCTCTTCGTGCATCATCCTCTTCTCCCAAGATGTCATAGCATCTACTGGAGAGTTTAGGTTGTACATTTGATAGATACCCAAGGGTGGGCATGGTGGAAGAGAGATGTGGCGATTTACATGGAGAAAAAGAGAGAGTTTTGGGACCCGTGCCAGTCTTAATTATTCTAATAAAATAATAATAACTTTTGAATAAAAGTATTATTAACATGATAATAATCAATTAGTTGTGAGATTTAATCTCATCCATTTGTAATGTGTTAATCTAATGGTCAAGAACTTGTGTCAAAAATATAGTGTCATGGATCCACCCTCTATATATATAGTTCTATATCAATTCAAAGTGTAATAACTACAGGCTGTATACCTATCACCTCAAGTAAAGACTTTAAGCTGTAAATTTCACGTTTACAATTTAGTGAGTTTTACATAAACGGCCAAGGGATGTAACGTGTGCTTTTGGGGATGCCTTCAATTAGAAGAACACTGATCTTACTTTCAACCCAAGAGAAAAATGACAATTGATTTTATAATCAATAAAATTCTTTTTTTTTTTCTTATTGGCAACATTTCATAAAATTCAAATCATCTCACAGCAATGTATTTATAAATTTTATTTTCTAAATAAGGACCAAGGTATTAACTTTATATTTTTATTATGTTTGAAGACTAGTGTTATTAGAAATTTAACTTATCAAACATATTATATAAGTAATAGAAAAAGAATTGAGCTTAACCTTTAAAACATCTTTTCAAACAAAAAAAATAAAATAAAACAATTTAGTTTGGTAATTACTTAAAGGAGAGAAAAGAGCTAATTTTAAAGTAATTTACTTGTCGTGTTTATTAATAGATTTCTATTGGATTCCATACGAAAGTCGTTGACATGTCGTTTCTGTACACTCGACAACGTTGTAAGGTGTAACTAATTGAAGATTGCGTCGATTGACCAATGTTCTAAAAATCGCTACGCGGTAGGCACAGGCCTAGCACCTAGAGGAGTAATCGACTAGGCATTTTATTTATTTATAATTATTTTGTATTATAAATTATAAATTTATACATAAATAATGCAAAAATAAAAGGACATATAAATGATAAAGTATCATAATCTATATATATAAAGCAAAAGGCAGAGAATGGTAAAACATTCAAAATACCAGAAAATACCCTTGGTTAATGCAAACATTAAGAATTGAAATTATTAATTAAATGAGGATAATATTGTAAATTCACACTTTTTCACATTAAAAAAAATTAAAAGAAAATTCAGATAAAAGATTTTATTTTTATGGAACACAACTACCCATTATCTTTTATAATTCTAAAATAAATTTATTTTTTTTAAAAAAAAAGCCTCACGCAGGAGCGGAAGCGCGTGTGGAGAGGCTAGTTAATATAAAACATGGGAAATAGTTAGGCATAAAACCTAGGTTTTCTTTAGAGGGTGCATTTGCTAACGCATGGGTATGGAATCTCTTAATTATATTTAACTTTTCAAACTGACTTCAAAAGCACTAGATTAACACACCAACATGAAATATCGTTTATCGAGCCTCCCTTAGTGTAAAAGGACCGTGACTTCATTAGCTGAAAATGCTTTAGAAGAAGGATTGACCTCGAGTTCATTGACATCCTATTTTTTGTTGTTGTATTTATGGGTTAAACCCGTGTTATTTGTTATAAATAAAATCCAGTTTTTTATTTTTGCCCAATGGGCTAATAGCTGGAAATCATTAGAATGGGAGGTATTGAAAAGAATTTAAATTCTTATTCCCCAATATCGCTTATACAAATAAAATAATTGAAGAAATAACTCTAGCCCAATGGACTAAAGTGGTATTTCAGCCCCAAAACCTTAAAATGATATGACAAAATTGTATATTTAAAGAGTATAGCCGGGCGGCTATACTCGCCAAATATATTAGAATATTTTAAACGTATAGCCGGTCGGCTATACTGTTTTAATACATTCGAATATTTTAAAAGTATAGGCGTTCGGCTATACGCTTGAAATATTAATATATTCGAATATTTTAAGAGTATAGCCGTGCGGCTATACGCTTTAAATATATTCCAAACGAACACGAAGCTTGCACTCGCAGAGGACGGAGGTTGCAGTCGAAGTTTCGCTTCTCTATCAACTCAAGCTTCGATTTGTTTTCTTCGGTTCCGGCTGCTTCGTCGTCCTGGTTCGGCACTGAAAAAAGACCCAACCCGCCTAGGAGGCCCGCCCAGCCTCCTAGCGCCCGCCTAGCCGCCTAGCCCCCGCCTAGGCCGATTTTTTAGAGTCTAAAGGACAAGTTTCCGAGGATAGACTCGAAACGGTTGCCTCTCAGGCTCAAAAGGTCTTGCACTGATGTACTCAATCCATCTTTGGTCTATGGCTATGAGTGTGTGATGTTGTTAGTGTGGTGTTTATTTTGCCATTGGCTTCTTTCTCTTTGCTTTTAGATGGCTGACATTGTTACAGAACAATGGATTCGAATTCAGCGGCTTGAGCAGGCTCTTCATATTACACAAGTAAGTTTTTCTGCTTCAAACTGGCTTCAGGTTCTTTATTTGCTAAATTCATAAGGTTTGCTGATTCACTAATATTTGTTAGTTTCTTCTTGGTTGGACTGCTTTTCATTCTTTGGATATTGCATTTCTGTTATAGATTTTGACATTTGATCATGCCCTCTTGTTTGCTGAGAGAAAAAAAAAAGAAAGAAAAGAAAACAGTCTCTCGACATCATGGTGCAGTGACTCTGTGCTCTACAACTAAGAATTAATCCAGTGCTGCAAAAGACAGTTTTCTCATAACCCATGACTTATCGAAATGATGTTAGGAAATTAATAAAATATATTACTATAAATTCATGTTATGCAATCAACTAAGGTTTGATATGCGTCACATATGAAACTGGACGTTTGAGCATTCACACACAGACACACAAAAGAAGACCACCGATGCGGATCTCTGCAGATCACGAAAGTCAGCATTGTCCATTTAGTACTACAGCCCTAAAGATGAGGGGTAAAATTCTGTCATATAGAAGGTTTAACATAATTTGTGACAGGATAAAGTTCAAGGTCATTAAAAGTAAATCAAACCCAGATTGCAGATTGGGTGTGTCCAAGACCCCATGAAGAATTCCTTGCTATATTTTTTGGAGCCTGCAATGCAAAGAGACCAGCGTTTTTTTGTCATTCGTATGAATTTTGGAAATATTTCAACAACTCATGTTGTGATTTGTGTAACTTAAAGTTTGTTCCTTTATTCTATCATGATTTCAACAACTCATGTTGTGATTTGAATTAGAGTTAATATATTGTTTGGTGTTAGAAGTTGATCAGAAAAATGTTGCTTGAGAATATGTGTGGTTTTTTTTTTTTTTTTTTTTTTTCCAACTTAAATCTTCCAGTGGGATCGCTTTTGCATCCTATGTTGATGTTGTGAATGCACTGTTTTGTCATGGCTGCTGTTTTACATATTTACATATATCAAGTTAATTAGTGCTCTCAAAAGCTTCATTGATGTTTCTTTCTTTAGGGGAGGCTTCATCCTTTGATGCAGCCACACCTGGAGAATTCATTGGTGGGTTAAAGACTACCATGTAATGCCAGGAACCTAGCCAAACAAAAAAAAATTAGAAACTCAGAGAGAATGAGAGGGGAAATTGACTCTTTCCAACTAACAGGAACAAGACATTTTCATTAAAGACTACCAATAGATTGATA